GCAAGCGACGACGATATTCAGGAGGCCAGGATGCAAGATATTTTTGGTGACAGTGATGACGAAGACAATGAAGATATGGACGTAACGCCGATCCGTGCACAACCAATAAGTTTGTACAACCCGCCTATTCACATGCAAAATATATGTGACGAACACGACAATACAATCTCCGTGTTTGAAAATGCTACTCAAAACCATGTAGGTGAAGAAATCGAGGTTGGAATGGAGTTCGACGACAAGGATGCTTGTGTATTTGCTCTGCAGCATTGGCACATAACACACAGTGTTGACTATTGGGTGTATAAGTCTGACAATAAACGGTATGTCATTAAATGTAAGAAACAAGACTGCGGTTTCAAGTGCAGAGCTTCTTTGAGAAAAAGGAGCTCGAAATGGGTGATAGGTAAGTTGTCTGGGGCACACACATGCAGTTCAACGTCTATGGCACAAGACCATAGGAAGCTCAGTTCAGAAATGGCTAGCCATAGCATCAGGGAACTTGTCAACACCGACGCCTCACTCAAGGTAAAAGTGATCATTGCCCATATTCTAGAAAAATACGGGTACATCATATCTTATAGGAAGGCGTGGATCGCTAAGTGCAAGGCGGTAGAGTCGCTTTTTGGAAATTGGGAAACATCTTACAACGACCTACCGCAGTGGTTATTGGTAATGAAAACCTTTCTTCCAGGAACCATTATAGATTTAGAAACACTACCTGTGATATCAAATGAAGGTTACCAAGTCTCTGGAAAATGAATATTTCATCGTTTGTTTTGGGCATTTCGTCCGTGTATACGTGGCTTCGCCTACTGTAAGCCCATTGTGCAGGTAGACGGAACTTGGTTGTATGGTAAGTACAGAGGAACTCTATTGATGGCGGTGGCACAAGATGGGAATGCAAATATTTTCCCAATAGCCTTCGCATTGGTCGAAGGTGAAACAAAGGAAGCGTGGAGTTTTTTCCTGAGGAACCTAAGACTACACGTGACACCGCAACCAAATTTGTGTCTAATATCAGATAGACACGAATCGATAAAGAGTGCATACAACAATCCCGAAAACGGATGGCTTCAACCAACATCCTCCCATGTCTACTGCATAAGGCACATCGCTCAAAACTTCATGCGCGAGATCAAGGACAAGGCTCTACGCAAAAAACTTGTTAACATGGGTAAGAAAACAATTTTTTACATTTTTATCTCAAGTTTCGTAGCACACTGTTATCATTTTTTCACACACTTTTTCTTATAGGTTACGCATTAACAGAGGCTACATTTAATTACTATCGCGGAGAAATCAGAAAAACAAACATTGAGGCTTCGAACTGGATAGACAACATTCCTAGGGAGAAGTGGGCCAGAGCATTTGATGGAGGGCAACGTTGGGGACATATGACATCTAACTTGGCAGAGACAATAAACTCTGTACTAAAGGCAACAAGAAACCTTCCCATCACTGCATTAGTCCAGTCTACGTACTATAGAATGGGTTTGCTCTTTGGTAAAAGAGGTCACAAATGGACCAAGATGTTATCTTCAGGGAAAGTGTTTACAGATGGTTGTAACAAAGGCATGGCTGAAGAGGTAGCTAAGGCTAACACACACAACGTCATGCAATTTGATCGCGAAAGATTCTGTTTCATGGTGCAGGAAAGGACTAACTATAACGACGGTCGTCCAACGGGTACTTTCCGTGTTGACTTGCGTAGTCGATTCTGTGATTGTGGAAAGTTTCAGGCATTTCACTTGCCTTGCTCTCACGTGATAGCGACATGTTCTAGCATACGACAGGACTACACAATTCACATTCCAGAGGTCTTCAAAGTTCTAAGCGTGTTCAAGGTCTACCAGGAGAGCTTCCTGGGACTACCGCACGAGGATAACTGGCCAAAGTATGAAAGTTTTACTCTATGCCACGACGATTCCATGAGAAGAAATAAAAAAGGGCGTCCACATAGTACTAGAATTAGAACTGAGATGGACGACGCAGAAAAAGAGCAAAGAAGATGTGGTATTTGTAGAGAAATAGGTCATATGCGTAGAAAATGTCCCAACGTTGCTGGTCCGTCAAACCGACCAACTAGATAATTTATTGTACTACTTTTGTATGTAATCCTTCAAATATTTTTAATTCAAAACAGCTTTAAAATTACAAAAACACACGCGAACTACAAACATAAATTAGACCCGTGACTCCGCAAACACAAAAAACAAATACCAGAAGATAACATAAACTCTAACAAACAACAACGACCAACACAAAATCTAACAAACTACAGCGACCAACACAAGTGGATCTGTGACTCCTCTGTTTACTTCGCCGCTATGTGCTGAAAACATGCAATGGACATCTTCATCGTTTTCTATACGATCTAGGTAGTACATATAAGTCCCCTCCGGGCTAGCATCGGTAAGCGTTATATATGGACAACGATACTCAATCTTCCTCACTGTCACGCGACGACCTCCCAGCTGCCGAAATCCGGTGTTAATTGCTGCAACCAATGTTCTGAAATTCCACAAAGGATCTAGGTTAATACTGATTTTTTTCTCTGGCCCATAGAAAACAAGAGCTTCAACCGACATTTTTATGATTAAGATAAGTGGTCACGAATGATACTTGGTGATGAGCAATACACTTATTTATACAAAAAAAATAACGTTTGAGCTCGGTCATTCAGTAACCGAGACTCTGTATTCATTATTTTTTTATTCGTATACAATATAATTATTTAATTATTTATACTCATCTAATTTAGTTATACAAAACAATAATTTATTTATAACAAATTATTTATACTCATTTAATTCTTAATCAATGACTATTTAATAATTTATTTTTCAAAAAAAAATTAACATTATTTTTCGTATTAATTATACTTAAAGTTTTATTATTTATTCAAATTAACATTAAAATTTTATTATTTATAAAAATTAAAATTAGTAATTTTATTATTTATAAAAATAAACTTTAGTAATTTTATTATTTACAATTCATAAATAAATAAATAAAAAATGTATTAAAAAATAAATATACATAAAATTAAGAATTAAAAAAAATAAAATTTTATTATTTATTAAATTTTATATTATTATTTTATTATTAATTATAATAAATAAATATTAAATGTTTTAATAAATAAATCCAATAATACATAAATATAATTCAGAGAAAAAAAAAATTAAAAAAAATAAAACCAACACACGCTCGTCCTTTCAATGGACGAGCTCATGCTTCCTAAAAAATCTCCACTAGCTCGTCCTTCCAATGGGCGAGCATGTAGTGAGTTAAGGTAGTTGGTCCAATGAATGGACGAGCCCATACAAGAAAGGGGGCATACTGGTAAAAAAATTTCAAAATGAGGTATTTTGGTATTTTTTTTTTCAAAAGAGGGTACTGGGGTAAAAAATCCTGAATTGAATCCTAGTTGAGGAATTGTTGAACCACTTGTCATTTCTGACAAGCTAAATGTGATGGACCGTGTGCAACCAAACTGCCAAAACCACGTCTTTATGTTTGGGATGCTAAAAAGTATCACTTTCCATATTGACAGTGCAGAATGATATTTGAACCCAATATGAGACGAAGCCTTGTCTGATTAAGGATGACAAAAATATCCGTATTTGTGGATATTCGTGAATAAAATCTATTATAGATATATAATAGATAGTTTAATAAATATTTACAGATAAAATAAATATTTATTTAAATATCTAATTTTTAATAGATATAGATATGAATTTAATGATATTTGTGCCCACAAATATAATATCTATATCCGTTAATAAATTTAAAAATCATTTAAATATCATTAATTTATTATATCTAATCTTTTCATCTTCTAAAATAAATAGTCTTATTATATTTTTTTTTTTTTAAAGAAAATCTTTCACATTTCATTCAAATTATATTAGTCATTTCATATTTAAACTCTTCAATACTTTAAACCCTACTTCAAAAATTTCACAATACAACCAATTAGTGTTGTCATTTTTCTGTCTAACGAGTGTCTTCTTGTCTACTCATTTGTCGTTCTCTCTTCCATCATAACTCACACTCACAATATATTTTATTTTTTTTAGTTAAAAATAAAATGTATGAATATTATGTTGAATCTAATTATATATTGGTGAATAAGAAGAAAATTAATGTAATAAAATTTTATTGTTAAATTAAGAGCGAATTGTATAGATGTTATGTGATAATAATTTTGTGTCTTTAAAAGAAGTTAAAAATATATATTTTTTAAAATATTATCCATAAATATCTATAAATATTCATGGAAATCGTAAAACCCGCAGATTATCCGCTTAATAAATATCTGCATAGGCCATAGATATAGAACGAATATGAATATTATATTTATCCAACGAGACGGATACGAATATTATAGTATCCATCTCATAGATATCCATTTATGCGATTATTGAAATCTTTAAATAAAATACATTCTGAAAATAGTTTAATATTCACTTCAGCTATATGTCCTTAAATTAGGATTTAGAGGTATGTAATAAAATCTAAACACAACCCAAATTTAAAAGAAAAAACCAATTTAGTTAAGGGTGAAAATATTCAATTTTAAAAACGGAGTTGATGTTCACTCCGCACCCAGCTTAATAATTTTATTTGACATTTATTATGTGGTATTGATTACAGTTTAATATTTTAATTTAAAAAATATAAATTGCAAGATTAATTTTATATTGAATGAGTGTTGTTATTTTAATAATTAGACTTTGATGCTATGAAAAATAAAATACGAAGATTCAAAAACACAAGTACATTTTATCTTGATGAAAATCATCTTCACCTTGTTCCCGTACCCATAGACAACGAGAACGCAATAAATAACCGGTTAGTGAAAAAATGCATCAGTTAAGCTTCTTTAGCACGTAATATGTAATTTATTGGCATAAGGGCTCAAACTATGTGAGAATACATGCCAACCCTTGTTATTCACGGTTACCTTTAAAAAGTGACAAAATTCACAAACACTAGGATCTTCCTACTTCATCTTTATCAGCATCTTCTTTTTGGGTGCCCAATTTGACAATGTCTTCCACCAATATTTTTCCATCTGTTTATGATTTAAAAAATACACAATAACTGTCATCCCTAGGCAGTTAAACAAGTTTTCAAATTAAGACATTGGATCATCTATATACACATTTTAAAAGGAAAACCTCATGAGGTTTTTCTTTGTGCTTTTGTAGTATTAGATTAGTTAAGTGTTAGTTTCATTAATTTGAGAGGGTACATCAGCAACATTCATATTTAATGAGCGATATTCATACTAGCTATATCTTAGTGCCACATGAGAATAAGGAAGAAATTGACGGAAGAACTAACCACTATCCTTCGAAAGATTGTTGATAAATTCATGAATTCCTTCTTTTCCCAAAGTGTCCTTCAGATACACAGCAGCAGATACAACTTCCTCAGGTGTAACTTTCCCATCATAATCTCTGCCAAAACATGGCCGAACATATAATAAAATTATTCCAACAATTACCTATGAAGATTTATAACGGAAAAGCAACAAATAACAGCATCCGTGTCATGTTGCTATGTAAAACTTTACACATGTATTGAATCTTTGAATATTTTACTAGTCAGTTCCGGGATAGTTCATTGAATATCCTTGGAACAGGTCACTAATAAAAAATAATAGTGATTAATTTATTACAGGATTCCATTTATAACAGGGTAAGAGTCCAGTCATTGTGTCGTTCAATGGATTCTGCCATTGAAGTCAGCTAACTGCTTTTCTTGTAAGAAAATATCATAATCAAATATTCATAATTTGCATAAAGAAAACAAAAGTAATTAATCATGGTGTTCTTTCAAGCAAACATTTAACTAAGAAATAACCTGTCTAGCAACCGCCAGCGGTCTCTAATTTTAGCATCAACATCATCAATTTCTTTTTCAAGTTTCTGGAGCATAGCATCAACCTAAGAAGCAAATTACATTCCTATAGCTGTCAGTCATTTCCAGTTTCAGATGTAATTCAGGCATTTATCTAATAATTAACAGATAATCTGTTTTCTCTTTTGTTTTTCAATTATTAAGGGGCATCTGTTAGCATACTATTATTCTTGAGTCAATCTTAGCATTACACATGTACAGTTAGTTACACCAGTTTGTTTGTTAGTTATTATCTGTTGTATATATTGGATACTGTACCTTTCCATTATTAACTATTGAATGAATAACAAACTTTGTCTCTTGCAAGTTGTCTTTCTCTTTTCCCAAACTTGCTTAGTTTTCTTCATCTTTCATGGAACTTGTGCACGATTATTGCACCACTAACATGGTATTAGAGCTTCCAAAGCTCTGGTAGCCATTGTTTCCTTGTCACCTTTCCCTCTCTCTTTTAGATTCTGCGTTACTTTTGCAGATCCACGTTCCACTTTCTTGATTGTTTCTCCTTCAATTTCTTCATTCATTCATCAATGGCTTACCAGATTTACAACGATTTTTCTATGAACTACTATATGCATCCAAATGAAAATCCAGCACTCTTACTTGTATCTCCATTGCTTGATGATAAGAACTATCGTACTTGGTCAAGATCGATGCACAGTGCTTTGATTTCCAAGAACAAAGAGAATTTCATTGATGGAACCCTAACCAAACCTTCGATAGCAAATCCTCTATATGCTCCACGGATTCGATGTAATACCATGGTTCTTGCTTGGCTTCATCGTTCAATTTCAGAATCCATTGCAAAATCTGTATTATGGATTGATAGTGCTGCCGGTGTCTGAAAAAATTTACAGACTCGCTTTTCTCATAGCGATCTAGTCTGCATTTCAGATATTCATGAGGATCTTTACAAGCTCCTTCAAGGTAATCTTGATGTCTCTAACTATTTTACTCAGCTGAAAGTTCTATGAGATGAATTGGATAACTATCGCCTTGTTCTTGCGCAATTCCAAGCATCGTGAACAACACCGTGTGATCCATTTTCTCAAGGGATTGAATGAAAAGTTTACACACTCCAAGTCGCAAATAATGATGATGCATCCCTTACCAGACATTGACAAAGCATTTTCTCTTGTTATTCAACAAGAACGTGAGATGAATAATTCGGTATCTGTTGCAAATCCTACTGGTAGCAACAATGAAGATATTGTTGCTTTTCAAGTTCAGACCAATTCAGAAAATTACAATGGAAAACTTAGCTAGTCTAAAGGGAAGAACGAATCACACCGTTGAAACTTGTTTTATCAAGCATGGCTTTCCACCTGAATTCAAAGGGAAAGGTAAACCTCAAAGTGCTGGCAACAATGTTCAATCTGCTGTTGCAGTTAACATTAAACCTCAAAGTGCTGGCAACAATGTTCAATCTGCTGTTGCAGTTAACATTGCCTCTGATTCTTCTCAACAAGGTTCAGCTACATCTTCTTTTGGATTCACTCAAGAGCAATACAATAATATCATAAAATTGCTCTAGCAGTCCAAACTCAGCCCTCATGCCAATTCCATTTCTACCTCCCCTTTTGCCATGTCACACTCAACCACTCCTAATGGTAAGAACTCCCATCTCTGGATTTTAGATACAGGCGCAACAGATCACATTTCCTTTGACAAAACATCTTTCATTACTTACAAAAATACCATACCTGTCCATGTAAATTTACTTGATGGTTCTCACATTGTTGCATCTATGTCTGGTAGTGTCATTGTTTCACCATCTCTAACTTTGCACAATGTGCTTTATATGCCAAATTTTCATGTCAATCTTATCTCTATTGCTAAGCTTGTAAGTAGTAATAACTGTTCTATGCATTTCAATGCTGATACTTGCCAAATCATGCAGAATCATTCTAAGGAAATGATTAGTACAACTAAATTACAAAGAGAGTTGTGTGTTCTTGACTCTACACCACATTCTTCAATTTACACTTCCACTGTTAATGATTCATGTAATCTTTGGCATTCTAGACTAGGATGCATTTCTGATATAGGCTTGAAAACTGTTTCAAAGTTGTTTCCATTCATTCCATGTAAAAATAATAGTACTCCTTGTGAATCTTGTCATTTTGGCAAACAGAAAAAGTTACCCTTTCCTCATAGTAACACTCAATCTTGTGTACCTTTTGAAATATTGCATGCTGATTTATGGGTCCATTCTCTACTATTTCTTTACTAGGACACAAACACTTCTTAACACTTGTTGATGACTATAGTAGATATACTTGGGTTGTTTTCCTTACGACAAAGGACCAAGTTAAAAGTAACATCATCCAATTTATAGCCTATATCGAAAACCAATTCCATTCATCTCTGAAATGTCTTAGAACAGACAATAGCACAAAATTGTTGTCTTATCTGAGTTCCTTTTGTCCAAAGGTATACTACATCAAAAGTCTTGTGTTGAAACACCCCAACAAAATGGGGTGGTTGAAAGAAAACACCAACATATTTTGAACGTTGCTAGGACTTTATATTTTCACTCCAATATCCCTCTAAACATGTGGAACTTTTGTGTCCAACATGTCATCCATTTAATCAATAAATTACCCACCCCCTTGCTAAAATTCAAATGTCCTCGTGAACTCTTATTTTCTCAGCCACCCTCTTTGATACATTTAAAAGTTTTTGGTTGTTTAAGCTTTGCCGCAACTTTACAAGTCCATAGAACAAAGTTTGACCCTAAGGCTCGAAAATGTATATTCCTTGGTTATAAGGATGGCACAGAAGAATATATCCTACATGGCTTGCACAACCATAATATTTTTGTCTCTAGGAATGTTGTTTTCTATGAAAATAACTTCCCTTCAAATTTAACCAGACAGTCACAACAAACCATAACCAAACCAACCTTAATCAGAACACTTACCTTATTCTTGATGCCATGCCTTATCTGCCAAGGTCTGCTACTACCACTGACATATCTTTTTCTCATGAAAGTGACATACCTGTTACTTCTCATGAATTGTCACGTCCCAGTAACAGTCATCCATCTATCACATCTCCTCTATCATCCAACCAGCCTAATGAGTCTGATCCCTCCCCTATAACCACTTTGGACTCACCTAGTATTGTAGGTCCTAGCCAATCTGACCAACCTTTATTCAACAGTTCCTTTCCTAGCCCTGTTACTCATCTCATATCTGCTGAGCATCTCAATGTCCATGCCACTGACAAATTACCTTCTCCTACCAATTCTACTACCAATGAAAATTCTCCTCAGCCTTTAAGACATTCTTCTAGAGCTTATCATCCCCCAAGTTACTTGGCAGATTACCATTGTTATTCTGCTTTCAATAATTCTTCTTCATTGCATTCAAATGATTCTACTGTCGCATATCCTTTATCTTCAGGTCTTACTTATGATAGATGTCTTCCTTCTTATAAACATTTTTGTCGTGCCATATCTTCTAACACTGAACCTAAAATATTTAACCAAGCCATTAAGTTTGACTGTTGGAAGAATGCCATGAATGTTGAGTTACAAGCTCTTGCTGAGAATCACACTTGGGATGTAGTTGAATTACCCCCTGGTAAAAAGCCTATTGAGTGTATATGGATCTACAAAATCAAATACAGGGCAGATGGCTCCATTGGGAGGTATAAGGCTAGGTTGGTAACTAAGGGGTACACCCAGATGGAAGGCATTGACTATTTTGATACTTTCTCACCTATTGCAAAAATTACTACAGTTAGAATTCTATTATCACTTGCAGCAATTAAAGGCTGGAATTTAGAATAGTTTGACATTAATAATGCCTTACTCCATGGTGACTTAAATGAAGAAGTCTACATGACTGTTCCTCCTGGTATGTCTACTTCTGTTTCACAAGTTTGCAAACTTTACAAGTCCTTATATGGTTTAAAACAAGCTAGTCGGCAGTGGTACTCCAAACTATCCTCTTTTCTGATTTCCATTGGGTGTTCTTAATCTAAGGCTGACCACTCCTTATATGTCAAGGTTAATTCTTATAGTTTCACTACTTTGTTGGTTGATGTGGACGATATTGTTTTAGCAGGTGATTCTATAGATGAAATTCACTTTGTCAAACATTTATTGGATCACACATTCAAGATTAAAGACCTTGGTCAATTAAGATATTTTCTTGGTTTAGAGATTGCTAGGTCCAAAGCAGGTATTTTCTTCAACCAGAGGAAGTACACACCTGATCTCTTAGAAGATAATGGGTTACTTGCCTCAAAGTCATCTGTTGTTCCCTTTGATCCCAACACAAAACTTTCAGCCAATGATGGTCAGCCATTAGAGGATCCAACATATTATAGACGATTGATTGGCCGGTTAATCTATTTGACAAACTCACGGTCTGATATTGCTTATGATGTCCAGCACTTAAGCTAATATGTATCCCGTCCTTTGCTACCACATTATCAAGCTGCTACAAGAATTCTCAGGTATCTAAAATATGTTTTTGCCAAAGGCTTGTTGTTTTCAGCTTCTAGTAATTTCAAACTGTATGTTTTTGTTGACTCGGATTGGGCTCGATGCCCTGATACTAGAAAGTCTGTCACCGGCTATTCTGTTATTCTTAGCTCTTCTTTTCATTGCTGGAAATCCAAGAAGCAAAATACCATGTCCAGGTCCTCGACTGAAGCGGAATATCGCGGCTTAGCATCACTGACTTGTGAGCTACAATGGTTACAATACCTTTTTCATGATTTCCAAATCACTTTTCCTCAACCTACATTTGTGTTTTGTGATAGTAAATCTGCTATTTACCTTAACTCATTATCCAACTTTTCATGAGCGAAGTAAATATATTGAACTTGATTGTCATGTTATTCGTGAAAAACTCTAATTCAAGTTAATCTACCTGCTATCTATTTCGACAAAATCTCAGCTAGCAGATGCGTTTACAAAGCCTTTACTTATACCAGCTTTATCTTCCATTTTATCCAAATTAGAACTTCATAGTATACATAGTCCAATTTGAGGGGGATGTTAGCGTACTATTATTTCTGAGTCAATCTTAGCCTTACACGTGTACAGTTAATTACACCAATTTGTTTGTTAGTTATTATTTGTTGTATATATTGGATACTGTACCTTTCCATTATTAACTATTGAATGAATAAAAAACTTTATCTCTTGCAAGTTGTCTTTCTCTTTTTCCAAACTTGCTTAGTTTTCTTCACCTTTCATGGAACTTGTGCACAATTACTGCACCATTAACAGCATCAGATAAAAACTAGAGGGTCATAAATTTACCTTGTCAACTAGTGCTGAAGAAACCTTGTCACTAATAGCGACCTCCATAGCACCATCACTATCCTTCCTTGCAGCTCTATAGGCCTCCTTAGCTTCCTGCTCATCTTCAGTACCTTCTTTCCCCACCATACTATTATACAGCTCCATCTGCATAGTGCTGGGTTATAACTGATTTTGTATGTAACAAAAGCTAGGCATGAAAAATAGCTTGTTCCAAAGATTTCAAAAATGTTAAGTTAAATTTAAAAAGGCCAGTTCAACACATATACAATTCTAGAAAGAAATAACCATTTGAGTTCCAAGGCCTTGAATGCCCATAACGCATTCACTCGGAGTATCCATCCCTAGAGACAGATAAATTCTACGGTCTACATACCTCCTTTTTGACAAGCCTCAAAAACTCTTCACGTTCTCTGCTCACTGACTGAAAAATTATCAGACAAATCATTGAGTCCGAGCATTTACCAATAAATTCTATTGTTTAGCAAGAATGAAGTTAGTTTTCCTTACAGATGCAGATGCTAAAACAGCTAATGCTTGGCTGATCTCACAAAGTTGCTCATGTTTCTCCAATGCCTTTGCCTTTGCATCTTCTTGTGCTGGTCCAGTCATTGAAGCCATCTCTTTCGTAGCTAAATCCCTTGCACCATCATTAGATTCTGCAACTTTGGCATGTTCCCCTTCCTCTTTCTCTTCCTCCTCCTATAAAATATCTTGCAACCATCAAACTCAAATCTAAAGCAGCAACTATACCAATAGCTTAACAACAACAAGAAAATCAGCATATTTGGTGATTTAGATACAATGTTGGTTGCATGCCAATAGTTGGAAAATTCTATTACATAATTGATTACCAATGCACAAAAAGAAAGAAAAAAAAGGCAAATACTTATAAACATAGAACTCCACTTTTCAAAAATGACTTATGTAGGATAGCATTATTAATAGATTTCTCTCCCCCTTTTCCATTCTATCTTTCTTCCTAATAGACTTCATTACATATGCATATGTGAATTCTCCGTTTCCGCCACTAGTAATTGTTCACAAAGTTAAAGTTAGACAAAGCAAGGCTTTTAGCAAACTACTTTAAATTATAATGGAATTCACCAACTCATGCCTCCTTTCCAAAACATAAATATCTCTAATGATGGCATATATAATGCATAAAAAAAGTAACCTTGATTAGCTCCTCCTGCATTTCAAGATATTCCAACTTCCTCTTCTTGTCCGAAACAGAATCTCCAGATGGCAAAGCTGTCACACCAACAGTATCCACAACCTCGTCCGGCAAAGAAGAAAGTGTAGCTTGAACAGCCTCCTCTGGTTTCACCTTTCCTGAGATGGAAAATGCTCTACAGAGAGAATGAGATGATTACACCTTTCCTGAAGGGAAATTCTTAAGACAACAGTAGCTCAACAGAGAAAGTATAAAGATACCTAGAAAGAATTAAGAGGGAAGATGGCAAAGAATGGTCGAGAGACAGATCCAGCCAGTCATTAAGCTGCAAAGAAATGCACAATTTACAACCCCCAAATATGAGATTTGTTTTAACAAATCAACCACAAGACGGCATCTTTTATTCAGCATCAAGAAAAGACTTCCAATTATATTATGTAAATGTCAACTTACAATCCTCATTCTTAAGAAATTATTTTTGTTACTCACCTAACACACTAGCATTCGAGAATCTTGAGATTTGATTTTGTTATACTTATATATGATATAATTGATTTCAAGTAAAAGTTGATTATAAATAAGTTCAACAAGAAGTTCTCAAAGTAGCAATTATGAGAAGATAAAGGTTCTGAATTCTGATTTCTGAAAGTAGAAATTATAGCCAGAATCTAGTTCACAGAAATTGCCCAGCTAGTAAGTTAACAGCGTTGGAGATTTCAGAATTGAGCTCCAGAGCATAAATTCCATTTAAAATTTATTATTAACCTGTTGTCGCATATCTTCCACTGAAAGCAATCCAAGCAGTCCTCGATCTCTACAAGCTTGACGAAGCTCTGCTTCTGAAAGAGACTCTACACCTTCTTCTTGAATCAGTTTATCATCATTCTTGATCCTGCCAGAGCCAAACAATTCAAATCTATACTCTCAAAACAACTATGAAGTAATAACTGAATATGTTAAATTTTGTTAAAGTACTTTAGTTTTCACAGCACATGGAGCTTTGGACATATTCTGAACATTACTTCAATGTAGAGAATACAAACAATAATCTTAATATATAGGCTAGGGACATCAATGCATTTTCTTATTGCCACGTATCATCATTGTCTTGACTTTGCTTATAGCCTAGGGAGGGACATAACTGCCTTTGTGAATCTCTCAAACCAAGCTTAGGAAGACTGTTGCAGCCCATAGAAACCCCTTTATTTGCACATTTTGTTTGCACCCTTAAGTTTGGGTATTCTATGGCACAGGTGTGTTATGAAGAGGATAGACCCTGGCTTCTGGCTTCTCGGCTACCTAAGGGTTAGATGCTACTGATCATGTCTAGGGTGAGACTCCAATTGGTTGGATTTCCCCATTTTGATTCAGTTTCATGTACTTGGCTACTTTTGACATGACTGGGTGCAGGCATGGGCTTGATTTACTAAACTACCACGTAACTAACAAAGTCAACTGCTTTCTTACTCTTATGGGATGGGTATCACCTTCCAAGTTCTATCCTCACTAGGTTGGATGCTAACGTGCACACACACTGAGAGAGAATTCACACAGAAGATGACTAGGTTGGAGGGCTTTGAATTAATCTTCAATCCTTTCCATCTCCTTATAATATTCTCAATTCAAAGAAAATACATTAGTTATATGTATACTCTTCTCATCCTCTCTAAAAATACTCTTCTAGATAAGGTGAATGATTTCCCTTCATTTCTTTTCCTCCTCTCCCCACCAAAGTCATCCGCTTTCTTACCCTCCTAACTCTCAAATAAAGCCTTATAATACCCATTGGGCATCAGCAAAACCAGCCGTTCCAACTATGAAATAAGACAACTCGCTCCCACAACTGAAACATTTGAACTTCCATAAGAACCAAAAATTCAGCTCTAACAAAACACTCCCCAGCTAATGCAGGAGTTCACATCATCATGACTCAGGGAAAAAACATACTATATTTTAGTTCAATCTCAGCATAAAATAAAGTAGGAATCCCATGTATTTGTTTCCTACAACACAATGCACTACAACGAAACCAAAAAGTAAGTGAGAAGGCAGACATCCGTAGATTGGTGTAACATGCATCAGAAATGTACAGTGGTTGAAAGAAAAGTCAGACATAAAGCATAAAATGAATTTTTCCTAACTCTAACCTGTAACAGTCCATAAACTATATACACACACCAGAATCAGAGCTATCCCAGAAAAGAAAATAGGAATTAATGAATCTTACTCCTGTAATCTTTTGCGGAGCATATAACGCAAATATGCATCAGTACCATACGGGCTGATACCCATGTACTTACACATATTTACCAAGCGAGGCCTGTTCTCCATTTTCACAACCAAAAGACGTGTTAGCATATCCAAAACGGACACCCAAAATATGAGATTCATAAGAGGACAGCATATGACAACTAGTTGACCAAAATCAATGCAGACGGAGCAACCTGCTAATGTTATCCAAAGTGAACTCATCATTAAATAATTTGGCAAAGCCTAAGATTTCATCATTTGAAACTCGGGCACCTGTTCTGACCTGGTCCATTAACATAATGAATACAAACATAATATAAAAATATTTCCCATAAGAAGACTACTTACAAAATATAAAACACTAGATCACGAAGAGCATGGCTGACCTTGTTCATAAACTCATCAAGATCTTCTGCTGTCTTCTTCGTATCTCCACTTCCGGAATTCTGAACCTCCTTCGCCATTTCTGTTACAGTATCTTGAAGAAACTTGGCATATTCTATTCTTGCATTTAGTCTTCTTTTCAACACCTCCTACAAATTAAGCCTTCCCAAAATTGAGTGATGATAAAAGCATGCAAGCAGTTAGAGAGGCAATGTTTGATGAGTACATTAAAAATTACCTGTTCTTTCATCTTATCCTGGAAAGTGGAAGGCAGCATGTTGGGAAACAGTTTCAGGAATACTGGCAAAAGAAACTCCATGAATGGAACTATGATAAATACAGCGAAAGGAACTAGCCTGAAAATATCGGCTGTTGTCCTTGTGAGTTGCTGCCTCTCCCTTCTAGAGAGACTCTTTCCATTGCCAAGTTTCAACAATAATCTGGAGCTAATCCTAACATCAGCCCAAAGTAGTTTCGTACCAAACCAATAGTGTTGCAAAGTAGATTTAAATTCATCCTTCCAATGACTTAACTTCTTTGCCCAGTCCTCCCTAGGCAATGGAAAAACCAGAAAAGTCTCACACACATATTTACATCACACAAAAACAAGAGGTAGTAAATTTTAAACCTGCTCATTGACAAAATAGCTCTGAAAGCTGGACCAATTCCTAGAATCTTAGCCCATAATCTCTTCACAATAGACTCGGTACTCTTATGAGGTTCTTGAAGTTGTTTAGCCTTAGCTTTCGCTTTAACGGTACTCAAGTCTTCAACAGCCTCGTCACACTCTTCTGGTGAAGCTTCCTTCTTCTGTTTAGAATCTAATTGTTCATTTCCACTGTCGCCATTACCCAATCTAGATTGATTAGCAGCAGCCGTGGAAATATAACGAGCATTTAGGGAAGTCCATCCTAATCTCGAAAGAGAAACTAACTCTATCTTCTCATTTCTAATTCCAAAATTCGAAACTCCAAATGAACTATGCAAGTATAATCTCGACGATGAACATGCTGCCAATTCATCATCGCTGAGAGTACACAATTTTCTTTCCTGTCCATGTTCACGTCCATGTCCATGTCCAATAGTTCTAGACGAAGAGAAGGGAATCTGACTCAAACCATCTAATTCACTAGAATCAAATGGCTGACCAATCCCGACGCTAGAGAATCCAAGAATAAAGCGAGTATGTTGACTAATCAAGTGATTGAACAAGATGTTCCTCTTCTTTTGTAAAATTGCTCTTGAAGCCATATATATCAACAAAATTACAGTCTTTGATGTCACTTTTTTTCTAAATAACACACTTAATAATAACACAATGCTTCAATGCCATTAATACAAATCGGATAAATTACCACCTGCAAAGTGAAATTACCAATCCCTTTATTTTTTCAGCTAAACATACATAATACAAACACATATAAAAAAAGCTCAACAGTATCCTTCAATTCAAGCGTTCAGAAATGGTGTGCATAGAAAACAATAGAGAAGTTAAAAATTTTACTTATATTTTAGACAGAAAAAACCAATTCAGTTGAAACTTGTGGAATAAGAAACGAACCTTCTAGATAGAATTTGGTCGTGAAAACAAATCACGGAGTAAAGAGTCGTTCGCGGTGAATATCGGGAGTTTTTTAATTGATAAATCGGCGGTTACCGGCAAAGAAGCGCCGGAGGTTGATCGAGAAAAATGCGCGCGGGTGTTGAAGGAGAACGCGATGCTACATAATAGATGTGAGTAGTCGTGTGTGAGAGAAAATGGAAAGTGAAGAAGGAATGAACAACAACATTATGGAAATTTTGAATAATTATTTTCTGATTCAATCACTAGTTATTGACTTTGACATGGTGCATCATTTGCACGAACACTTTAATTAATTTAATTTTTTTTTTTAACATTGTGGTGTGTAAAAGTTACTAATAACGTGATAAGGTGAAAACGGTCGGGCCATGACCCATTTTACCACTTCTAGTAAAAGTATAGTTCTTTTCATCTGGTGGTGCGACTCGTTGGAGTGGGGATGTGTGTAAAATTAACATTTAGGTTAAGTCAATCATGTCACAGGGATATAATTTTGTAATACTAAATAAAAAATATATGATATGGTGTATAGAAGAGCTTTTATATAGTGGACGATTAAAATCGCTCTCACTTGACTCCCACTTGATCCGACGCGAAATACGAGAAACCTTCTAATTAGATTCAAAGTTAATGATGGACAGATTGTCTAATCTAATGTGCGGTCTCTTGGGATCTAACTATTTGTCACTCTACGCGAGAGTATTATGGATTAGGTCATCAATAATGAGTTGGTTTTGATGGGTTGTTTAGCTCGCCCAGAACAATTTTCCTCAAATCTTTGCTATCATTTATAAAGTTAGGAGTGTGGTGAAAATTGAGACTGACCTCTAAAATAAATTTCTTACTCGACTCAACGTGCCCGGGAGGATCCCCACCTTAGGGTCGGGAACAAAGATGTATTGAGTGGAAAAATGTGTCATCGAAAACAAATGTATTAAATGCATGTCTTGTATACGAAACATTTCACATTTTATCCTCTCCATGTGGCCCTAGGCTTCAAGGGGTAGAGATGATACTTTTTACAATGCTTGGGTGTGGTGACAAGATATAGGCCAAATTTAGACCATTGATTTGTGATAGTGTGTTTGCCTCAATCTTTGACAGAAGATCGCGAAGTTATTTGTTACCATTATATAACAAGGCAAAATTGATTTTTCTTTTTTGCTCTCATCGTTTGTTATGCTTTAAAGATCTTTATTTTCCTTGTAATGTGCTCGACCTCACGTTTCCCCACTCTTCTTCTTCCTAACCTTTACTTTTCAGTTCTAACGACATTCTTGGTGTTCAGGCGATTCGACCTCTTTACACATCGTATGTTATGGCTCTTAAAGGTAACAATCTTGACTCTTTTTTATTGCTTTTTTCATCGTTCGCTAGGATTCTTGGGGAGATTGTCATGGAAAACTCAAAGGTTGATGTTCTTATCCAGTGAAAAGGTATTACTGGTGGCTTTAATCTTAGGGAATTCGTAAAGGGATTTTCCTTCCCAGTTATGCCTTTAACTAACCCAGAGCTCATAGTCGACTTTAAGCGAGAACATAAAGCTCAAAATTATATAAGGGGGTGTCAGCGTGCTTTTGATTGTGATCCAATTGATAATGAAGTAAGATGGTGGATATAATCTCAATCACATGCTTATATTTACTATAGTTCTTTTTTATATATTAACAATGAAGCGAGAATAAATTGATGCAACCATCAGAATCGATAATGGCCCTTGTTGTGAGGATCAATATAGTGGTATTTTCTCGTTGTTGATGCATGCATTCACTGAATAATGATATATCATACTCTACTTGGTTTTGGGAATCATTCATATAATCTGATGATTAGTAACCATTGTCTTCAAGCGAATGCCGAGGTCATTGATATTGATTCCAAGCACATCTTTTTTCTTATGATCGACCAATGTTGTTTCATAATTATGATTCAAATATTTATGTATGTGTGAGGTCATGGTAGGTTGGTGCATATTGTCACTAGTTCATCATGGACATTATGATATTTTATTTTCAGGTGGACCAAGGAAGCTACGATGTCAAAAGTTACAACAAAGAGTCTCCTTATAATGCAATTGTACATCCTTTTACATCGGACTATTAGAAACTATAAGTCTATTGTCCTGACATATTTTCCTTCTTTTAAAGTGATCATGAGCGTCACGAATACCCAAGCACAGATCATTATGCCATTAAAAGCTTACAGGTCAGGTCCCTTATAAATTGATAACTTGTCTTTCTTCAACCCTATTTTCTGGAAGAGATCGACATACATAACATCACATGACCTCTCCCTCTTTTTTGTTATCCTTGTGGATTTCTTGAAAGCAACAAAACCTTGTATTATCGGTCCTAGATGACTCTTTGATGAAGTGATGGTTTCTTACCCTGATTTCTTTGAAGTCAGTATTCGCGCATTCTTGTGAAACATTTTCTATATATGTATTGAGGGGAGTGTATGATGAAAATATGGCATGAGACCCTCAATGGGAATCCAAACTTTTGTCATCATGGCGTCGATTCGTGTTTTTCTGTTGACCGATTTTTTATCGAGTTCTTGGACTGTTTCCACTTCTTATGCCAATAGTTTATCTTCATAGTTGATGTACAATTGGGCACTAGTGAGGACATCACTCATGCTTCCAGTACCTTATTGTCCTAACTTTTCACAGAACAGACAATATGTTCTTAATCTCTTTTCAAAGGCCAAACGTCTTAGCCCTTCATTATACCATCATACCTTAACCTTCATCTTTGTGAACATGCTTATATATTCTCATAGGGTCTCTTTCTTCTTCTGGTGGATCCTACTGAGAAAGACTATAATATTTGGTTGACGCTTTTGGGTTGTGAATTAGGCATAAATGCATCACATAGTTTCTTCCAAAAGTTTATAGAACCATTAAGCATGGTTTTAAACCATTTCGTAGTTGCTCATTTGAGGGAGATGACAAACAATTTGCATTTCGCCATGATCCCAACAGGGTGATAGTCGAGCATGGTGTCCACGTGTTCAATATGCTCGTTCGCTTGCTCAGCCTCGTCATAATTATCCAACTTTGGTAGTTTTTTTTAAGAGATTTAAGGATCTTACCATCAAGGAAATGTTTAGATAATTGTTCCTTCTTGCAGTTAGATTGGGCTTGTGTTTGGATGCCATGTACCTCCCTTCTCTAAGAGTGATGTAATGGATATCTTTGAGGACGACGATCCTCGGGTGGTGTGTGGTCATCGTCTTCACCTCCAAAACCGTGAGGAGGATATTGGTGATCCCGATGATGACGATGTTTTGGTGATCTATGGACCCCCGGGGGCTGCGAGGTGGCATCTCCGAGAACTGTTAGAGGTATGGCTTTAGAGTTATCGTTTGATGCTACCCCTACAGTGTGTGACCCCGGGACATAGTGGCTTGTTAATTTTCTTCATTCCATATGAATTTCTCAGTTAAGATATGTGTATTAAGATTTTACACAAAATTGTAAATAATGGTAATTAGTTCATTCATTTTTTGCATTTCAAGGGTGGCCTGAAGTTTTTGGAGGCACTCAGACATTTCTGGTTTGAAAGCTTGTTCTTGTAGTTGAGGTCGTTTAAAGGTCTGGCGATGAAGTAATTGTCGGAAAGGTTGAAAAGTTGACAAGATATGGAAAATTCTTTTCCCGACGTGAGGAGCGATTTGAGCATGTGGAGATGAAATGGTTGGAGAAGTTACAAGAACTAAATTGACTCCCTATATTTGATGAGGTATGACCTCTAGTGTGAGGGAAAGACTGGTGCAGTGACTTCAACTATGCTGACTTGGAAGCTACCATTTGAAATAGTTAATCAGATATTTGGTCGGGCGATAGAACAATTGTGACAATGCGACAGGTAGGATTCAGTGAATTTTTATGAAAATTCGGGAGAGCTAGATGATGATTCTCATTGATAATATCACTATTCCAATGGGAAACAAAAGATTAGGGACATTCAAATGTATAGTTCTTCTGGTTCAGTGGTGTGGACTGTTGATGTGGTAGAGGGGAGTTGCCTACAAGGTTAACACTTTAACGTCATAGTCAATGGAGTCTGAGAGGTATAATTTTGCAAGAGTGAATGAAAAATATATGTTATAGCGTGTATAATAGTTTTTATATGGTGAACAATTAAAATCACTTCCATTTGATCCAACGCATAATGAATAAATAAAAAACCGTCAGATTAAATCCAACGACCCTGAACAGATGACCCCAATCACATGTGCAATCCTCTAAAGAAAATCTATCTATTTGTCACTCTATACAAGAATATCTTGAATTGACCTTTGATATTGATTGGGTTTTATTGGACAGTTCCTACTCATATTTCTAAATAAACTTAATAAAGTTTATGTAAAATAAAAAAATGCATAGGCATTTTCTTTCATTTAAAAAAAATTAATATAGAGAAATTTCTAATAAGCTTGTAGAATGTTATAAAAATAAAACTCGTAGAAGTTTATTTAATTTTATATTATGTAATAATTAATAAATATCAGAAGAAAATAAATGCATAAATAATAGCATCAATACCCTTTTTATTTAATAAAACTGATCTGACCTGATCAGAAGGGGATCACGGGCTGGCCACACGCTGTTGGACTGCTACCTGTTCGCCGGTGATGAGGAGGAAAAGGGGGGTGTACCTGCAAG